GCTACAGAGTCCAGTTGTCGAGCTCTAACCAATTGAGCTACAGAGTCCAGTTGTCGAGCTCTAACCAACTGAGCTACAGAGTCCAGTTGTCAAGCTCTAACCAACTGAGCTACGGAGAGACAGTTGTCGAGCTCTAACCAACTGAGCTACAGAGTCCAGTTGTCGAGCTCTAACCAACTGAGCTACAGAGTCCAGTTGTCGAGCTCTAACCAACTGAGCTACAGAGTCCAGTTGTCAAGCTCTAACCAACTGCGCTACAGAGAGACAGTTGTCGAGCTCTAACCAACTGAACTACAGAGTCCAGTTGTCGAGCTCTAACCAACTGAGCTACAGAGTCCAGTTGTCGAGCTCTAACCAACTGAACTACAGAGTCCAGTTGTCAAGCTCTAACCAACTGAACTACAGAGTCCAGTTGTCGAGCTCTAACCACAAGTTTATGTATATTTAATTAAGTTACAAGCTTTGTCACAACATTAAGAATACAAAAGAAATAACAATAATTAACAAATATAAAACATTTCCCGTGTTGATATACAGTTATATCAACACGAGTGGAAATTGGGAAAACGAGAAATTGTGTGGAAACACGACGCCCGAAGGGCAGAGTGCTTTCACACAATTTCGAGTTTTCCCAATTTCCACGAATGTTGATATAACTGTATATCAATAGGGAAAAAATGTTTTATATTTGTTTTATAATATAGCACAAAGAAAGAAATTTTCCGACGTTTCCGTGTTGACATTGAGTTATATCAACACGGCTCTTAGCCAATCTGCGTTCAGAATTTACAAATGCTATATTATAATAAAATATATAACATTACACAAATTGTGACCGGGAATCTGGGAATCACAACAGCTTCTGGCCAATTACTGTGATCCAAAAACGTACGATTTACAAATGTACAAGTACTGTTGCACAACACACAAACACACATACATTACATATATACATATATTCATACACACACACACATACATATTTAAAAACAAAATGCAATAGGTTTGGTTAGGTCCTGATTACATTTTAGGCAAATTGTTTTCCACGATCGAGGATCATGCACGTTATAATTTCTTTCTACTGCGGTATAGTAATATTCGATTAAGAGTTTTTTAAACATTGTTAGAGAGTTATATTTATTGGTTATTGATCTTAGTAATACGTTCCAGATTCTTCTTGTTCTTATTCTAAAAGTCTGTTGGTAGGTCGAAGTCTTGCATTTCTTAACTTGGAAGTTTAGGGAATTTCGATTCACTCACTGATCTTGTTATTTGTGAGGTTTATGTTTTGGAAGAACTGCATCTGAGAGGCACATGTACATGATAGATACATATACTGACAGTGGTGTGAAGTAGCGAAGTAAATGTACTTCGTTACTGTACTTGAGTACTATTTTTGAGAAGTGAGCATGTAACAAAGTAAACTTTTTCTGGAGTACTTTAACTTCTAACGAAGTCGTTTTAAGAAGTAACGTTTTACTTCGTTATTTTCATTTTGTGGCGAAGTATTTCGTTACTTTCTAACTTTTGTTTAATTTTTCTGATTTATTTTAATTTCTGGATAGGTAATACGACTCTACATGCGTCTGGGATCTCTCGTTTGTGACTTATACTTATAGTTATAAGCATTATTTACTTAGGGGCCATTCACAAAGGATGTCCGAGCCGGGGGGAGGGGGGTTTGGAAAATCAGGACAAACTCGGACATAGGGGGAGGGAGGGGGTTTTTTAGCAATCCGGATGTCCGAAATTTAAAAAAATTCAAAAACAAATTTCTTTTTCCTCTATTTTGAACTCTCCTTCCCATTGTGAAATTGGCATTTTGAACACTTCATAATATTATGCAATTCTTTCCTTCAATGATGAATTCAACAGTGGCGTCAAATAAAAGCTTTCTGCATGTATAACTCTCCTTTTCTATACAATAAGTTCATCCCGATGTTGCAGTAACACAGTTGTTTGTTTTAATTAATAATTTATAGGTTTTTGTATTCACATTTATAGTTATAAAAAAGTTCTAAAAGTAAAAAAAGTTTTTTACTCTTGACATATACAAGGTTGCGTGAGTTTTTGCGAGGCATGGCGGATGTCCGTGGGGAGGGGTTCACTAATTTGGACAATGCCGGATAAGAGGGGGGGGGGGAGGGGGG